TTGTCCTCATTAAATGAACACCGCACTTGCATTCTCAAAATGGTTCCAAACAGTGCTGGAATATATTGATGTATGGGCTATGAAATGACTCATTCATCAAAAACAGAAATCAGCCTTTCAGAAGCCAGGTAAATAACTCTATTTCCAAGTGGTGTCAAATAATACTATATGAATAATGAATGGCTTTTGTAAGAAAACCCTGGAATCTGTTAAGCTTTAATTGCCCTGGCTTCCTGAATTATTGATTCTAAATGAGGTTTAAGGGTTAAGTTCAACTCTCATTAGTCTTCAGCACACTTGTCCATAGGGTTATGAACTCTAATGAGTGTAATTAACACAAATTGGAGACCCTTTTTCCCAATATTTTACGTGTTGCATTTACTGTGTGGTTGTTTAGTGAGTCTTTGCATCACTACTTCTTCTCATAGCTTTCCCTTATCTATATATATATATATATATATATATACCTTATCTCTCTCTCACACATGTATTCCCTTCCTCTTTTGCAATTGTGGTGCATCTCCCTATCACTCGATTGGTTTGCTTCCTTTCACTTCCTTCCTTTCTCCCACCTCTCTTCTATTTTCCTCTCTACTTACTAAGAGATATTTATGATTCTGTCCTTTTCAGCAGCAGGCTGAAAGTTAAATACACCATGCTCTCTATTGATCATGTGCAAGGCAATTAAAAGTCTGTATGAATATGAGAAGAGGGCTGATGGAAAATCTTTCACTTGCTGTATGAGACATAGGCCTGTGCCACACCAGATGATTGCCTATAGGGAGGGTAAATTATTTGTATGCGGCTAAATCAAACTCAACAGACTAAAAAGTTTTCAATATTGAATTTGGGCTACCAGATTGGATATCACCTGCTGTCTGTGGATTGGCTATTAAATCCTGGTGCTGTGTGGTGTGACGGTCATGGTTAGTTTGGCCAGGAAACTGCAATCCAATTCTCTTCAGTGTGGAATGTCTTTCGGATGCACCGTTTTTGGACGTGAGGTGGAGAGAGATGGAGTTTTTAGTAGAAGGAGGATTCTGTGCCATTTTGTCTTGGGGAGTTCAATAATGTGAGTCATTGGAGTGGAGCAGGTTTTACAGCAGCACAATCAGCTGCTGGATGAGAAAGTCAGCCTATGGAAATGAGCTATTGACATCCTCAGTCATCTTTGAAAAATGTGCTGGCAATGAAGAGCTTAGGATCTTTCATGACGGTTTCATTGTTACCACAATAGCCTAATGGCTCCACTTGCAGAATTGTATCCCTCTCGACTCAAGCAGGCATGTATCATTGCATTTACACTAGCGATCTGCATGCTCTCTGTTGGTTTCCTTGGGTGGACAATTGTTTCTTTAACTGTGGGGATGCAGATAGTCCAGGCTGGAAGGAAACTTACCTGAAACAGCTCTGGTGACCACACACACCTGCTCTGTGACACTGATGGAGATGACAGAGCTCCAGGAGTGCCTGGAGGTCAGTGAGCTCTCAGCTCCTCTGCCACTTGGCAACGTCTGCCATCCTGCTCTAAGGAAGTGTCACTATTGATTTGTGTCAATGAGGTGACAACACTGCAGGGCCAGGCCACAACGAGAGCGCACAATCTACATTCAAGTGCGGATATTTACTACACCCTCTTGTATTTGGCACACACCAGGAAATACGAACACGTTGTAGTTTATTGTCCTTGATTCTTTAATCAGTCTGATCCTATCCCCTCTTATGTGCTGACAAGCCTTCACATTGGGGAGACCTTAAAGGGTGGCATTGAGAAAGGCATCAGATCAGAGAAAGAAAGAGGCAGTATTCCCCTGTGTCTCATTTCATCCAATATATTTCAAGGCTGATCGTTTTTTTTTTTTCTGTGAAGTGGCCCCAGTGGAATACTGAATGAGTGAGGGGAGGCAAACGAACACTAGACTCATGCTTTCTAGTTCCATCAGCCTGGCAAAATAAAATCATCTGTTCCAATGTGACCGGGGCTTTGGCTTCGTCTCCCGAGCAAGCTTCAATCTATTTCATTCGAGGCATATTATGTTCAGCCAAGAGGCATCCGTGTATTTCACTTAACTGCCAGAAAACAAGCTTTCTGGCATGTTTTGCACCAGGTTGCTGTTTCACATCTTCGCCCTTCTACTAAGCAGATGAATTGATTGCGTAATAGCACCCCTGGGAATACTATTAGTAATACTAGAGTTGAAACTGCTGGTACTAAAATAATTTCCTCTGTGACAATTCTAAAAACTGAAAAAACAATACAAACACCCTGTCAAGCAACAAGGGCTTTACAAGAAGAGGGAAGAGTCTACAGATACACTAGCGGATGCGTGCCATGCCTTTTTAGAATGATAATTTATTTGAACCCAAATGTAATTTTTGTGTAAGTTTAAAAAATAAAATGTTTTTTCTAGGATGTGCACCAACTTGGCTTCTCCTAAACTTTTCAAGACACATTGATCAATTTAGATTATTTTGATGTGAGTTGCCAAGTGTTAAAGATATCAGCCGTAGGCGGTTTTGCTTCTCTCATATATAATGGAGCTATATCGCAGTCAGCTTGTGGTGCACACATTTCTAAGTAGAAGTTATTATAACCATTTTCAGGTTTAATAATTGTATTTTGTGCCGCTACTGTGGCATGTTTACATACTTTAATGTTCACAAAGTGCTTTATTTTTCCTCATACTTCCTGTGCTGCTGCACCTCCTTTCATCTTCTGTCTGAAACCAGAGCCCAGTCTGCTCTGATTGGTTAGCTGGCCGGCTATGTTATGATTAGGCGCTAGCCAATAGAAGAACAAGTGTTACGTAGTGAAGTAACTTTGTCGTGGAAGTAAACAAAGGACTAAAATCTATATAACACACAACAGGAAAGGGATGTTCCAAAAACCATAATAGGGCCCCTTTAACGTCCTCTTATAACACCCTAACAATGCAAGGGCAAGCTACAAGCATTCTGGATGTTTTCATATTCCTTTCAGATCAGAGGCGTCCGTGGATCATCTCACACATCCACTTAAAAGGTGGAATCCTTGGCACCAAAGTCGTTGTGCTATAATTAAATACTGGTAGACATATCGATTTCACCGTTGTAATCTTGCATTGGCTGCTGCGAGTGTCAAGGTATTGCACAGAGGTGATTTTTACCTGATAGGAGAAGGGCACAGAATAATGGAGGTGGAGGAAGAAGGGCGTTATAACGGGATTTTTCCTTTTCTCCATGTGGTTTGATGATTAATCGAAAGCCATTAGTGCGGAGATGAGGCACGTGAATTCAGTCTTAATTATTTTTGTTTTCTGCCTTGGATTCTCCTCTGCTTTGACATCAGGGGTTCGCATTATCTGCAGAATGAGGAATCGGCGACCTTCTTATCTGATTTCTGCTGTTTGTCTCATGCAGCCGATATTGCTGTACTGTGCAGTATCAGGAAGCTGCTAGCTCACCTGAGGCTTTAAAATGCACTGCTTTTATGTGAAAAAAAACACACACACACAGCCATTCATTTAGCAAACTCAGCAGAAGGACATTTAGTGGTGTTCGCTCTGTAAGCTTAGCTCCCGCTGGAGGTTAGATCTGTTGGGAGATGGACATGCTGAGATTTAGTAAGTAAATCCCCCCCTTCTCCAGGGCTCCAGGATCAATGGGACCTTTGTTATCAGCCGAGCAAAGGGGAGTCACACCCACCAACACTTAATTAAAAAAGATGTGACACAGATACTGTACCCTGACATAGTGTCTACCCCTGAACCCGCTGTTAATATGCTTACCCAGGGTGGGAATAGGTTAAAGTAGTGTAATTGAGGAGGAGGCTATCCATCTAATCCAGACATTGTCAGCACTCGCCCTTTCCCTTTTTCCTCTTGTTGCCTTTGCAATATTCCACTGGGAAGATAAGAGTCCTGTCACTAGTGGCTGTTACCTAAACACTACATTTCATTAATCAGCACATTTTGCAAAGCTTTATGGGAAAAAGTTATTCTGGTGATCATAATTTATGATTGGTACACCCTTTCTGACTATATGCTGCACACATACTTAAGTAGCTAATTAAAACGTCAAGCAAGTGAGTTCTGTTTTGCACAAAGCCTGTTATTTTAGTTTGAACCTAAATGAAGAGGAAAGTAAAATCCCAGTACATCTCATTATTGGGAAGTTTCTGAGCTGCCTGTCATAGCAGGAAATCTTTGACATGTCTTCTGCTTTTCTTTGTACTTGACACCTTGATATTGGCTCCCAACTCTCTACTTTTCTAATTCTTGAAAAGCCTTTTTGTTGTCACATTCATTCCAGCCAGTTCCTGCAGACTTCAGGTTGGTTTGAGGGACAGCTAACGGATTAAGGAGATGTCAAATGTGATTGTACAGAGCCAAAGACAGAATGTCAGATCTTTTTTTTCCCTCCCCCCCGGTCCTTTGGTCTAGTTTTGATTGTACTGGTCGTGAGAGCCACCGGGTTTATGTGGACGTGTTTGTGCAGCCAATGTCATTCTTCACTGAGCTGTGTCACTGCTGCTGCCCTGTAAATGGATTTCACATAAAGAGGACCTACAGGCCTCTGAGTCAATGACAAAGATGGTATCTGAGCATATTGTCAGCATATAAGTAGCCCACATTAGCCACTTTTCAAACTGAGCAAGTGGGTCCCTGTTAACCTTGGCCTTACCATGCAGCAACAATTCTGAGTTTTAATATTAATGCAGCTCAGAATGAAGTGAACAGCTGGGCCGTGTCCACCTTTAGGCACCTCAGAGGAAGACTCTTCTGACTGCTAATCTTTTATTAAGTAACACAGTCTGGGCTGTGACATTTACATACTGAGACAATTAAGCTCTTGATGTGCTGGTTATTATCACCAGGCCAATAATGGAGATTAGCAAAACCACCTCAGTTATTCACACCGCGGTTCTTATCTTGTCCTGCTCTCAGAAGGTCATCGATTGCCATGATCCTTTTTCACAGTGTGTGAGCAGTCTCATAGCTTTGTCCTGTGTGTTCTTCCAGACCTGCGGGAGATAGTGTTCGTCATCCAGAGTCAGAGCAACTCCTTCCATGTGAGGCAGGCAGAAAGACTGAGAGCAGACTTACTGCAGCAGGCTCACACTCTGAAAGAGGTAAGATTAAAGACATCTTTCACTCAAGCACACATGCTCTTAGTTTGGAATACATTTTAGAAGACATAATGTATGTAATGACCATCAGTAGCATAAAAAGTAACATCTGAATTAGAATCGTTTTAACCTGTAACATTTATTTTTTATATAAAATCCATTCGGGAGAAATAAAACGTGATTGCACAACATAGAAAAATGAATGCTTTTCAAGTGTTGGTCATGTGTCAAACTGTTGCTTAATTACTTAATAATGTTTAATGATAGTATGAAGAATTATTAATGGACCCTCCATATGAAAGCTCTTACGTCCGAAATGTAAAAGGGTACTGTGAAATATGCAACACCCTCGGTTCCTTGCTACAGCGGATAATGTGCTTACTTAAAATGTCATATATTTATAAAATCCAGATATTTGTGCGGCTTTGAAATTCAGATATGCAATTGTTCTTCTAAAAAAATCAACCTTCTATATCTGAAGGCATACAGTATTTAAATGATAAGCGATGATTATCCATAAGCATATGTTCATCCAAATTAATATTGTAATTCCTGATTTTAATTCAGATATTCCAAAGAATGCTGCAGGAAAGAAAAACAATGTATTCTCTTGGGAAAATAACTCATTATTTTATGCAATTTGTAAAATATGAGTAAGCACATCAGCATTATGTCAAAGGAAGACAAAGTGCATATTTACAGGTCGAAAGGCCAATTTATTTCTGTTCATTTAATCTCTTCAGAGCAAGATGTAATACATGAATTATTCCATTTAGTTAAATACTAAATGTAGCATCCCTAATGACATTATAGCAAATTAAATGGAGGAACTGCTCGCTGTGTTTCCTGTAGCAAGAGACCAATTTAGATCTCATATATGAGTTTATGTTTCTGTGGTCTCTGATTTTTTGTTTTTGTTATCTCAGTGTCTTCCACTGCTGGATGACTCAACACTTTAACCTACATTTCACTGACTCTGCCCAACGAAAAAGATATATAAAATATTATTTGTCATAATGACACACATATGTACTGCTGTTGTTGTGGTTTTGAAAAATACTAAATATGCCACTCCTTTTTAAATATATTGCTCTAAAATAAATGTTATCTTATATTTGAAATCACATAAATTGAATGTGGCAACAGTTTGAAAGGATTGTTTCATGTTTCTTGTGATTAATTGTGGCATCACTTTGTGCCAGATGATACGATTTATCATGAGAAGATTCTGTTACACTAATAGGCGTCACATTTCATAAGGAGAGACAGACTTTATGAATAACACATGTTGTGTTTGCATTTATGATCTCAGAGATGTCTGGCGTTATAGTATCAGTTGCATGCAATTACACAAACTAAGTCCAGGGAGAGTTTTAATCAGCAACTTCTCAAAGAGGCAGCAGTAAAGACTTGACAACTTTTCAAAACGATATAAGAATCAAAGACTTATGAGCTAAAGGAGTAATCTTCAGCCTCAGGTATACATCAGCACACAGACCTGCGATACCTCCACCAAGTCCTTGAAAAATCTAATAGTTTTGATGTAATGTTCCCTTCCTAATTCTTATAGATACCAGCCCTAGTGATAACTGAATTGTGGCTTACTGTTAGTGCTGGATTCCACAGAAAAACAAATCAGGAAAAAACTCTCCTTTATTAACATTTAGAGTATACTGTAGATACAAATGTAGACTCTGTGATTGATCATAAATATAACCACCCACAACTTTTAAGAAGTAACAACCAGCCATCCACCACTTCCTCCGAGGCACAACACACACACAAATCTGCTGTTTAACAGTCAGGGTTTGTGCGATACTGAAGGGAAAAGATTAAAGTCAAATGATACAAGGCATGCTTTTAGTTTGTAGATGTAAAACATTCTTGATGTACAGTATCTTGTTATCTTGATGTTTTGCTTCACACAAAGCCTTTTTTAATGTCTCGCAAATATCTTTAAAACAAAAGAAAGAATGGCCAGTATTGTGATCAAAATATCTGTAATATAAAACTACTTGATTAAAAAGCTTCCTAAATGATTCAGAGATGACTTGGTTTTGCTAAATATCAGAATGTTAGGCCAGCATCATAGATACATTAAAGATTTTGGCTCATCAGAGCACCTCAGAGACAGAAAATGCGTGAATTATCAGTATGTCTGTCTCCACATTTTTCACCCTGAGCATAATGCTTCAGTTTTATCCTCGTCTGACTGTGTAATCTGCGGATATCACAAAGCCTCCCACGAACAGGAACTTGTGTATTCGATGTGGCTACTCACAGCCTATGTTCCTACAGTCTGACATTGTGCCTTCTGGGAGGAACTCACATTACATTAACACATTAGTTTTGTCGTTTTGACGATGCTCATGTCCACAGAGACATTCAACAGAACGAGATTAAACTCAGAAACCCATAGCGGCAGTAGTGAAATACACCATGTTTCTAATTGCATTCCTATGCATCACTTGAGTAATCTTACAATGTATCCATTTAAGGAGCCACTGGGATGAAAATATGTTAACATGGATCCCCTCATTTAGAGACTTGCCCCTCACTGGCATCCCCAAAGTGTAGTTCAGTGACCCCCTTCTTTTCTTACAAGTAACCAAGAAACAGCTCTTATCTGTGGCAGAGTCTGCAGATTGCACACAACACCGCCTCCTCATATTGAGATCCTCCTTTATCATTGGATTGCCAATAGCTCTTTAAAGTTAAAGCATAATCGTTAAGATTGTATTATAATCTGAAGAAAACATTTAGTTTTTCTCTAAGTTATACTTTTATCTCAACCGTGATGGCGCTAACATCAAGGAGAGTCAAATGAAGCATCGTAGGTGTCATTACAGCTTTAGTTCAAAGATAAAGCTCATATTAGATGAGAGCTAATATGCTAATAGGACTAGTTAAATATAAAGAGTGTCAGATTCATCCCCTAAATCAAACGGTGCGTGCTGTCATACAGAATGGCTGAGAGGAGACTGTTCACCCTGACTTCCTGCATGATGAGTTGACCATGCAGTAATGAGCCACTGGGTCTCACGCTCTGCTGCTTTGTTTTCATTGCAGTGTGAAACACTGGCTCTCGCACACACGTACTCTCTCAGTCGTCGCTACAGAGCAGTGTTCTGAAAAACATTCCTCCTATTTGGATGTGGTTATGTGCACTGTCCATGTCCTGAAATATCCGTGCTTGCTTCCAGTGATATTTCCATCTTACTTACAATTTACTTCTCAGTGTTAGCAAGTGAAAGCAGAAACCCAGAAGGCAATATGGGTTTTAAAGAATGATACAAGTGTGTTTGGAAGCTTTATCTTCTTGAAAGAAAATATTTGATTTATTCCGCCTTTTTCGATTGTATCAATTACATGTAATAATTAAACAAACAAAACCTAAGTCAAGCCAAAGTCAGACTACATAATGTATGCCTGATAACGCCCATCAGGACGAACTTTGGGGATAGTTCAAATAAGTGATAATAAGAGTGTAATGAGAGCTGATCGGGACCATTATTCTCAAATGAATGGAAAGACGGCTAGACAGAGCCCACACCCATAGGCAACAAATCAATCCGGGTTTATTTTCATTCATCAAAGTATGTGAACATGTGAAAACACTCATTCTCGTTGCTGTTTTGGTGAACTTTACGGCATTTTGCTGTGAGTTCACGCAGCGCAGATATCTCAAAGTGCAGTACCATACAGTGATAATGAAATATATTGAAATACAAATTAAAACACCGGCCTCAATTGCAATATTAGCTTTAACAGAGTGTGTGTGAATTGTATGGGCTAAAACATCCAAATACTAGTACAGTCCTTTGTCAATGCTGATGAACCAGTTCTAAATCACGCCTTTCCCATTCTGTGTACTTTGTTGGAGGAATACAGAAATCACTGTATCTTTCTTTATGCTGTTTTTGTGTGTGCAGAAACCACCGGTGGTATTGCTTCTTCATAGTTTATCAGATCACGAGGGAGATTGGAGTATCCTTCCTCTGCTGCCCAAGTAAGTATGCCTGCACTCTCAGGATCGAATGAGAATGTTGATTTAACGGTTCAAAATGTGAGAAAAATGTCAGAAACTTTGTGTCAGTTCAGATTGAGGAAGTTATATTTAGGTTTTTAGGACATTTTGAACCACGTTTTAGGGCTGCAGATGGCTGGGAAGCTATTATCTACACAATAACTGATTGATTGCCTCACATTATAATAAAAACATTCCTAATGTCTCTATAACTGCAACAATAACCCTATTACTGCAGTCATTTGGTGGCCTGAGCAGCATGATAATGACATTAGTTCCAGTCATCTACATGTGTGGGCCTTCTAAACATCCAATATATGTTCAATAATGGTTGTGGGAAGCTGTGAAATAACATCGGAGTCTGTTTTTTTTCCTCCATCATAAAGATGTAGGACATAGATCACCAAAAGCATCCCAAATCATTACAGAGCCGCCCTCTCTGAAAGTCTGTGTGCTTGTGATGTTTTGTTGCCTCTCTCCCCTCGAGGGAAACTGTGTGGCTGCCTTGATCTGACTGGGTCAGAAGCTGCAGTTAGAAACTACCTCACAATGGACTGAAATAAAAAAAACAATGTTCTGTAGAGTTTGTGTGTGCATGGCAATGTTCCGTTTATTTCTAGTTCATTATTTAACTCTAGTTTTAATTTCTTTTGTCTCAGCTTATCGAACTCCTTCGGGAAAAACTCCTCCTGGATTGTATTTCTTGAGGAGGAAACAAATGTGAAGACGACTAAGCTGGTTCAAGTCCTTTCAAAATTTGACAAGAATAAAGTAAGTATTAAATATTCCCTCTAAACCCCCTTTCCTGTCTCTTTCTGTCTGTGTTGCTCTGTCTCTCTATGCCAATTTCATCAGCGAGACCAAAGCTCCAGCTTAGTTGATCATTGGTTCAATCCTCACAGTATCAGCTTAGCTCCTGCACTGAGCTCTGCCTGCTCACTTTGTAACCTGTCAGACATGTCACTCCTGTCTCTGCTGTAGACCTCCTTTAAGCTCTGTGTCCCCACTCATGAAATTATTTTTGTATATGGGTAGAGTAGGTTGAATATAAATAGCGTATTAGATAAATGCTGCCATTCAGAAAATTGTACACTGTGGGTCTAATGAAAGATCTTTACTAAACCAATCTTAGCTAAAGCTTTCTCCATCCAGTTTTTTTAAATAACCAAAAATGGCACATGTTAGAGAATGTGGCATTTTTCTGTTGCCATTTGTACTTAAGCCATAGTTGTAATTCATTATTACAACTATGTAATGTGGAGAAAAAGGTCAGATGTTAGATGAATCTACTGGCAACCACGTCAGTATGTTGAATACAAAATGTGGTTTGCAGAATGACTACATGAGCTCCTGTAACTTCATTACAGTACATATACATTTAAAGCAATTTTGGGAAGTAGGCTTACTTGAGAAGATTGACAACACAAGACGTGTATCCTGTACATATGAATGTAATCATATCAAACTCTGCAATAAGACAAATCACATGTTGTGTTTTTTCTCTATAAGTTTTTACCCCAGATGCATCAACAATTATGAAAAGAGTCTAGATCTTTGTTATGTCAAGAAATCTCATTATCTTCCCAGCCAGTGACAAACGTGGTTACTACAAATACTTCCAAAAGTTTTCTGGCATTGTTAAAAGTTTCAAATGAACTCAATATGTTAAAGGTACAAGAATAAAATGACAAAGTGTAACATCTTACAGAAAAGACAGGTTACCTGCACTCATGATGACATCCTGTCCCTCACTTCTTATTTATCAGGAGTGGTTTCTCGGTAAGCCCCTGTATGACAAGGAGTCGACTATCATTCATCACTACGCGTTTGCAGAGAATCCCTCCATCTTTAAATATCCCGACTTTGTTGCTGCTTGGGCCTTAAGCACCCCCCTTGTTGTTCGGTGAGTACGAATCAGTTTGTATCTGTGAAATTGAGTCGTTACGTTATCATTGCAGTAATATTTTTTGTGGAGTTTTGTATTTGTCATATATCAACCATAAATCTGTGATTTGTTATTTTAGGCTCGCAGACAAAGTGAGAAATGAACCACTTAAATCTGACTTCACCATTGACCTGAAACATGAGGTGAGATAACGTGCACTTTACACGGTCATAGACCTGTTGTGTCTGCTGGAGTGAAGATGAGACTGCTGGTTTTTAGCCATATCCTCACACATTTCTCCTTTCTCACACTTGAGCCAGTGCCAACCTACTATAATTTATTTACACAAAAAGAGCAAGGCATGAAATCCATCTAACCTTGAAGTGAAATCTCATTACTTTGGAGAATTGTCACGGTGCAGCATTGAGGTTCTTATTTTTATCACTGAAATTCAGTCGGGTAGGCACCTAGGGATTTCTTTGAGTAAACGCAGCGCTGGACTTATCAGGCTCAGTCGGTAAAAGGTTGTTCAGGAAGAGATGGCATGATCTCAGTCCCAAGATCCAATTACAATACCGTATATTCTTTTTATGTATGCTTTTTAAAGGATGCTGAGTTTTCAAATGAAATCAATGGACATATTATAAAATGGTGCTTTTGCAGATTAATGGGTCTTGAAATGCACATCACAAACATGCAACTGCAACCTCAGTACATAATAAGATGACTTGTGAATGTCAAATACAGACAAATATGGCATGCCTCCTCAATATCATTCCAGTTCACTGTCAGTAGATTAGCTGCAGACTGTGAATCGGCAAAACATCAGTTTTTAGTTTCTGTAGTTCCTATTCTGTAAGACTGTTCCTTATTCAGACAGCACTGATGCCACTGTCTTCATTATATATTATTTTACCGTACTGCTGCGTCGTCCCCTGTAGAATAGTTCCACTATATCCCAGATTTTACTTTGCTCTTCATCAGAAAGAGGTACTGTGATATTCAGCAGCTCTCAAATTCTCCCTTTTGGTCTGTCTTTTGAAAGCTATCTTAAATGTTACATTTGATGTGAGAGCAAAATTGTTGTTTACTATAAAAGAAGAGTGAAGCATTCCACGTGTCTTCAGTACATTTTTATAATAAAGGATTCATTTCTGTTATATTGCATCTTGTCTTCAGCTTTAACATTTGAAAAAAAACATCTTTGTTGATTACAGGTTGCCTTGTATATCTGGGACAATGGCAACGGTCCACATCTCACTGGCGTTCCTGAGCTGTGCACGGAGCCGGAGGGCTCTCCCCAGACCCAGCACTGCGCCACGTCTCTGAGCACCGCACCTCCTCTGTGTGTGAGTACAGGCTCTGTGTGCACTTCAATTAGGTTGTCCTCAATTCCCTGGGAATGGTAAAAGAACAAAATTAAACATAAAACCGAGGGCACTTCACTGTGATATGCTGGCAGTTCTCTGATGATGTACGATATTCTGCCTTTTTGTGCCCACGGTAACATGGAAACAGCACCAATATTTCACAGCGCAGCCTTCAACGTAACTGCCTTTATTCTCCATTCAGTAGAACATTGTCCATTAACCTAAAAAGACAGGAAGTTTGCTTATTCAATTAGATTTAGTAATCCACCAAGAATGACATACACCTCCGTTGCTTAGCAACATCCGTTTGTGTCCTCTCATTTTCTAGAGTTACGACCTCATTTTTTTCCCCCATCATAATGTGGTCAATGGTAGCCATCTCCAATTCTGATTGATGTCTTATTCTAACATTAAAAGTATTTAAAACACATTTTTGGCTTGCCTTCTGGCTTCATCCTTTCATTGTCTTGTCCAAGCAAATGGAAATTCACATGCAAATCTGCGATGTAAGCTGATGACTAATTAACTCTAAAATTATTCTTCTCCTTTATCCTCTTTATCTCTCTTGTTGGCCCTTGTTCACACATAGTCATCAGATTTTTGTTACATGAGCAAATGTTAAGTGGTGAATATAAATAAAGCATAAGTGTCTAAGGGATCATTTATTCCTGGGAATAAGCTGGTTGTGTTGTCTCTTTGTAGAAATATAATTTTTTTAGCAGAAGTGTTATTTAAATGAAACAACCAATTGCGATACTGACAGAAACTGGTGCTACACTGCACTTTAATTAGTCGTTGAATAGGATCGTGTATTAGAAACGTTATTACAGAAATAGCAATGATCTTTAGAAATGTATCTTATGTGTAGGTTCTTTCAAACTATATAATACAGAGAAAGGATATAACAGTGAGTTGCATGTGTGCAAAGAAAAAGGCAGTTTCTTACTGTAAAATGATGATGATAATAATAATAATAATAATTGGCAGTATCTTGAGGCCGTACTTGATGTTGCGTTGCATCTGAGTGGGAGCCAGCTAGTGAAAATATATCATTATTGTCCCACACAGTAAGTAAGGTCGGTACTTACAGTGCCATGTAGAAAAAAATGTAAGTCTACTTTAATCAAGATTGCCGGTGCACTTGCGTTTATCGCAAAAGATGTTCCATGTTATAGGATATTATAATTCTGACCTTGTTGGAGTGTTGAATCACAAAAATGTTCTTTCCACATGGTATGTGATATATTGTTAATACATTGTTTGCTGAGAGAACATTTGGTTTGTGAGCTGAGAAGACGTGACCATTCTTCAGGTGGCAATTGCAAGCACCCTGGAATAATCAATAACTTTATGAGAGCTTTGTTGACAGTTGGTGAGGCGAGTCGAATTTGGGATGTCAGATGTTTTCAACCCTGCCCTCTTTCACAATTTAACAATCCGATGCTCTTCATATGGGATTTAAGCCATATACTGGATGTGCATTATGTGGTCAAAAGACTGATTAATGTTTGTTGTAATCCAATTAGTTATAACAAGATTATATTAACGTACATTTAAATCACTATATATAAAACTGCATTCATGTAACCAGACCAGAGGGCAATATTTGAGCAGCCAGCGGAGAAACATTAAGGTCACAAGTTTAATAAGTATTCAGGGAGGAATTTGGATCACACACACAACAAGATTGGACATAAAGTAATCTGCTATTGTTTTAAACATTCACAAGACAAATAGCCAAGCAGGGGCCACTTCAGCATAAGTGTTAAGAGCTTCTAGAGGCAGATTCAAGGAGGCAAAGTACAACAATCATCACAACATGTGCTTTGTTGTTGATAAAAAGAGAAGTAAAGCTCATAATATAAATGCCTTCTTAAGGTTGTTGGGGTCTTGTATCAACAAAGCATTGCCTTTCTATGTGACAATTATGTAAACAAAGAAGACAGACTGGGTTGATGACTATTATCTGGTGAATATAGCAGAGCATGGAATCAGCTAAAGAGCCAGATATTTCCCAAAAAAAAGAAAAAGGAACTAAAGCGAGTGAATATTGGACTCCAGATAAAAGCTAATGGTGCTCTGTAGCTACTCCATGTGTAAGTAAGCTATTGTTTCCAAACAGTAGATCATGACTAAAGTGAAAATAGTCATTAGCTGCAGATTGTTGTACATTATCATTTAAACTTTCAGATTACTTTTCTATGCTCGAGCTTTATCAGAAGTTTACTTCACATCGTGTCGACAAATGTTCTTGGAGATGTGATGGTTTGTGCAGCAGCTGATGACATCTTTAATATAGCACACATTTGTAATGCATTTTGTCTGAGAATTGAGTGTGTCTTTGTGTGAGTGTTTGAGCTTTTATTAAGAAAGAAGTAATGCAGGCTCTTCCATGTTTGACTGTAAGTAATAAGGAAGGGATCAGAGATGTTACATTTTCAGTTTTATAATCCCTTTCATTTAATGTATCATATTTCCCAGGCTCCCATGTTGCTCCTCTTTTCATCTCCAAGGCTATTACATTTCACACCTCCATCCATCCATCTTCTCCCGCTTATCCGTGGTCGGGTCGCGGGGGTAGCAGTTCCAGCAGAGAGCCCCAAACTTTATTTTCCCTGGCGACATCAACCAGCTCTGACTGGGGGATCCCAAGGCGCTCCCAGGCCAGCGAAGAGCAATAATCCCTCCACCTGGTCCTAGGTCTACCCCTTGGTCTCTTCCCAGCTGGACGTGCCTGGAACACCTCCCTAGGGAGGCGCCCAGGTGGCATCCTAACTAGGTGCCCGAACCACCTCAACTGGCTCCTTTCGATGCGAAGGAGGAGCGGCTCAACTCCGAGTCCCTCCCGGATGACCGAACTTCTCACCTTATCCCTAAGGGAGACACCAGCCACCCTGTGGAGAAAACCCATCTCGGCCGCTTGTATCCGCGATCTCGTTCTTTCGGTCATGACCCATCCTTCATGACCATAGGTGAGGGTAGGAACGAAAATGGCCCGGTAGACAGAGAGCTTTGCCTTCTGGCTCAGCTCCCTTTTCGTCACAACGGTGCGGTAAAGCGACTGCAGTACTGCTCCCGCTGCTCCGATTCTCCGGCCCATCTCACGCTCCATTGTTCCCTCACTCGAGAACAAGACCCCGAGATACTTGAACTCCTTCACTTGGGGTAAGGACTCATTCCCTACTTGGAGTGGACAGTCCATCGGTTTCCTGCTGAGAACCATGGCCTCAGATTTGGAGGTGCTGATCCTCATCCCAGCCGCTTCACACTCGGTTGCGAACCGATCCAGTGAGTGCTGAAGGTCGCAGACCGATGAAGCCATAAGAACCACATCATCTGCAAAGAGCAGTGGTGCAATCCTTAGTCCACCGAACTGCAGACCCCCTCCCCCATGACTACGCCTCGAAATCCGATACATGTATATTACAAACAGGATTGGTGACAAAGCGCAGCCCTGGCGGAGGCCAACCCTCACCGGAAATGGGTCCGACTTACTGCCGAGGACCCGGACACAGCTCTCGCTTTGGGAGTACAGAGATTGAATGGCCCTGAGTAGAGACCCCCTCACCCCATACTCCCGCAGCACCTCCCACAATAACTCGGTCATACGCCTTCTCCAAGTCTACAAAACACATGTAGACCGGATAAGCGTATTCCCAGGCCCCCTCCAGGATCCTTGCGAGAGTAAAAAGCTGATCCGTCGTTCCACGACCAGGACGAAATCCGCATTGTTCCTCCTCAATCTGAGGTTCGACAATCGGCCTGACCCTCCTTTCTAGTACCTTAGAGTAAACTTTCCCGGGGAGGCTGAGTAGTGTGATGCCTCTGTAATTGGCACACACCCTCTGATCCCCCTTTTTAAAAAGGGGAACCACCACCCCGGTCTGCCACTCCTTCGGTACTGTTTCCGACTTCCACGCAATGTTGATGAGACGTGTCAACCATGACAGTCCCTCAACACCCAGAGCCTTCAGCATTTCACACCTAATTCAGCATAAAGTCTTGGATTTTTTACATTAGCTGCAGTTTTATCAGCTGTTGGTCTTTTGTTTCAGAGGGAGAGCTGAAGAGAATCAGACAGCCAAATGACCTCAGACGGAAAAATCTAATTCTAATTTCCCTTTGAAGATATCAACTCGGTCTCCCACTGATACTTTGACACTTATTATTGCCTAAAAAAAATACATTTTAACAATTTGGCCGAATATAAAATAGATACTGTCTTGATATGTGATTTAGAGTATGTGTCATGTTCATGTGAGGAATCTCTCTGATTTGTGTCTCCTATTTTCATCAAAGGGGGAGCCTGTAAATAAAGAAGATATATTTGTTGCTGTGAAAACGTGTAGGAAGTTTCACAGTGAAAGAGGTAAGTCACACTCCCGTGCTCACAAAATCTGCCAAAGATACACAATTTACCTTTAAATGGCTCATGCTTTTGACCTGTTGTTTCACTTAATGGATTCGCTTCACCTGTGACACCATAATTAAGCTTTAATTATTATACGATTACGTCTGAAAGGATTTGAAAGTAGGCCTATTTAATTTAAACCTTGAAGTTCATAATTGCATGCACTTCTCGACACTGGAAAATCCTCCGACAATCCTGCAGATGTTTAAAAAATCTACTACTTCTGTTAAGCTGTTTATTTGCAAGCTCTGATGGTGTCACGGCCTGGCTCTTGGCCATAACAAAAGCGTGGAAAGGACAAGATATAAGAAAATATATTTATTACAATAACCCAACGTTAACACAAAAGCTACCCCAATGTGATGTGTTAATCAGTAAGATCAGTAGTGTAGATGTGGGTGTGTGAACGTGGTGTGGTGCGAGGTGTTTGAATGCCAAAACTAATGTAAAGGTAAAACAGAAGCATAAACGAAGTAGCTGCTCTCCCAAAACAGGTCCTCAGCGGAGAGAACGATCGAGACTCTGGCTCAGGCCTTTTACTCGTCCGGTACCGGCAGCCAGGTGTCCTCAATCAACGCTGACACAGGCAAAGGGAGAACATTAAAGGGCCATAAACACACAACAGGCGATAGTAAAGCAGGGGTCGTCACAATGTCAATAACCTATCTACATTGAATCTTCTTATAACCTGATAAAAATGTAGCAGGTTCAGTCGATATATCAAATTGCGGATTCCTTTCAGAGGGAACAGAGAAATGGTGCACTACATTCAAAGAGTGGCGCTCAAAAGTAATTGCACAAATTACCCTAATTACCATTTCATCTGGCAAGCTGCCATTATCCGTTTCAAATGCAGACAAGATGGAAATGGATATTTGATTTCTATTTCAACCTTAGATCAATAAGAAATGGAAATGCAACAGTCTTTTAATACATTAAATGTCTCTATCACAAAGTGTTAAGGCTATTTTAAACTTCAGTAATGATTATATGAAGTAATACAAAAACAATCATACCACACTGATTCGAGGCCGTGGAAACATGCAGTCACTTAGATATAAAATACAGTTCATATAAAAATAAGGTCAACAATCTGATGTGGTCCCAGAGATATCTCCTTTTTCTTTTCACGGTAGTTCATAGAATTTATATTACTGAGGCAATATGAAAGATTCAACTTTTATAACTAAGTTTAATTATTGGGTACCTTAATACGGCAACAAAAAATAACTAGGAAACAGAGGTTTCCCATTATTACTTCACTAACGGTTTCACTAAAATAAGTAGTACATTTACATATCTCTTTTTTTTGTATTTCTTTTAACAATAAATTCTTTCAACTGTTTTCAAAACGGCATGAGCGTTTACTTTACCAGTATTCTGATATTTAGCTAAACTAATGTTTTCTTTTTTACTAATGTTTCACCATACGTATGTTGGGTTTTGTTCTAAGATGTGTAGGATGCATTTTGTCTGTTTTTTAAACCACTCTAACACCTATTGATTGGGACAGCAGACCCTCATCTGCATGAGATTCTTTCATTTGAAGCTTGGTTTTCATTTATTTCAATGCGCTTATATTAAAAAGCATTATGATAGTTGGAGCTAAACTGGCCTTGAGCGGCAGGTAAGGTCAGCCAACTCAACTTTTCAGTTTGATTCTTTCATTGCCACTCTAATTCACTTTTGTTGATTTATGAGAGATGAACACAGCCTGGAGCTGCTGCTGCAGATCTCTGGTTCTTCTTTCTTTCCCAGCCCGCATACACTCTCTGCTCGACATCCCAGAAACTAATCACAAAACCTGCAGCACTCATCAGTCAGATCCCAATCAAATCTATGGGAAATCTCGACTAAAGAAGAAAAAAACGGCTGGTCGTCTTGGGCTTTCTGTTGATTGAAATTCCTCAAATGACAAACTGAATCATTGTCCTACAAATAATGACTCGTTGCCTATTTTCAATCTTAAATCTTATGATTTATGTCTTTAGAACCCTTGCTAATATAATATTTATTTTTTTAAAACAGACCAAAACATAAGAGAAACCATATATTGCAATAAATATGCTTATTTGCTCAGGGAAGTGAACACAGCACAGAACCAAAGTTATGTTTGTTGTGAAACTTTGTGAACAGTGAACACTATTGATTTGTGTCTCTGTTGCTCTAGTTCCAGTGATAAAGAAGACCTGGGAAAAGGATGCCTTCTTTTTAGAGTACTACAGTGACCATGCCGACCCAGCCATACCAACCATTAATTTAGGAGTTCCAAACACAGAAAGAGGTAAGTGCCACTTTTATTTTGTTAAATAAAGAAAAGATCAAGGCGTTGTCGGAATATCTTTGTATCATCCTAGAATTGAATCTATTAATGATTTAAAATGTTGCCAGCATTATTTTATTCAATCTGGATATATGTTGTCATATTCCATACCTAGCAACAGACTCAGCCAACCTCTTTATGCATGCTATGATGTTCTCCCACACATAACATACTGCCTAACAAGCTGGTTATGAGCAAGCCAGACAACTCTGAAACTAAATCAGGTATTTCACAAACAGACACTTGCCTGAAACGCCAATAACTTTCATATTTTTGTTATTTTGTTTTGTTGCACACAAAGACAAGACATCAATGCAAGCCAAAACCTTTAATTTTATAACAAAATAGCAGGTTATTTAATTTTTTGTCTTGCACAAGATATTCACTAACAACAACAAGGTTCACTTTTTGAAGCGCAACTCAACTTTTATAGTCATCCTGCCAAAAGCAATCAACAAAAACGTAATGTTATTTAACTCAACAATTCTTATGGCTGCAGACAAATAGTCAAACAGCAAGTGAACCTATCTAATTTTCATCTAGCTCACACAACAAAGGTGTCCAGACAAAAGTACAGTTCATTAATTTGTATATGATTGTTCCACACTTTCCAGATGATTGCCTCATCTTTATAGTTTAACAGGGGCTTGAACCTCCCACAATGAGTCAGTATATTATTTGAAAGGATGGTAGTGGTAGGAAAGCCAGAGCAACTACCAGTGGTCTGTGTCCTGGAACATGTTCCTGTTGAGTGAAGAGCATCACCTAACCTTTAAACATAAACTGAAGAGATCTCTAAAGCAAAGCAAACCTTATGTCACCATGGTTACATACTCATTGTTTTTAAATATCTGCTCTTTTTGTTATATTCTTTTGTATTTTATTATATTGTGTTGTATCATATTGTGTGGTTATGTGCTTTACTGTACTGCTTGCTGAGGCATTGTATCGATACTACTACAGATATAAATTGGGTCATTAGCTAACCCTGGCATATGTACATTGAGGTGGAAACTGAATGTTGATTAATGTGCACTGTCCCTGGTAAATAAATAAATATGCTAAACTCCTTCAGCCTCAACATCACAAACAGGCCTTGGATAATGCTGCAGGGTCAGCTGAGCTACATAGAAAAATACAATGTGTATTACTAAAGTGGAGATTTTACCCAATTATGTTGGGATTCCTTAACTGTATGATACCGAGATATTTTTGAAACTATTGCATGATTATTTTATTTGTTTTCAGAATAATTCCGAGGTGATAAATGTGTCAGGGCCGTCTGTTTGTTTTGGATGTGAGGAGCTTATCGCCAAATGAGAGATATAAACGGCACATTTACTCACAACGTGATTGGCCAACATCCCCTGCTGATTTCAACAGACTGTAGAACTGTCAGTATTCGATGATATGCTTGCTTGAGATATTATTTTCCCTAAGATTTGGTGAAAATCTGTCATTTTCATACGTTTGCTAGAGTAACTGCTGGGTCCATCTTTACTAACGTCGTAGCTAGGCCAAGTGTAATTTTATTAAAAAGTACTGGTCAATTTGTGACTATGCAAGACAAGGCAAGTTTATTTATATAGCACTTTTCAACACAAGGCAATTCAAAGTGCTTTACAAAAAATGAAAGACATTAAGAAAATGGCATTTAAAATCAGTCATTAAAAAGAAAAGCTAATAAAAGAAACATTAAAAGAAAAAATACATGGATAAAAGTTACAGTGCAGTCTAAGATATGAATAGTTCAATTAAAAGCAGCGACAAAAAGAAAAGTCTTCAGCCTGGATTTAAAAGTAGTAAGAGTTGTAGCGGACCTGCAGGTTTCTGGGAGTTTGTTCCAGATATTTGGAACATAATAACTGAACGCTGCTTTACCATGTTTAGTTCTGACTCTGGGGACAGAAAGCTGACCAGTCCCTGAAGACCTGAGATATCTGGATGGTTCATAATTTAGCAGGAGGTCAGAAATGTATTTTGGGCCTAAACCATTCAGTGCTTTATAAACCAGCAGCAATATTTTGAAATCTATTCTTTGACACACAGGAAGCCAGTGTAAAGACTTCAGAACAGGAGTGATGTGATCCACTTTCTTAGTGTTAGTGAGGACTCGAGCAGCGGCGTTCTGAATCAGCTGCAGCTTTCTAATAGATGTTTTAGTGAGACCTGTAAAGACACCATTGCAGTAGTCGAGTCTACTGAAGATAAAAGCATGGACAAGTTTTTCCAAATCCTGCTGTGACATTAGTCTTTTAATCCTAGATATCTTCTTTAGGTGATAGTAGGCTGATTTAGTAACTGTTTTAATGTGACTGTTGAAACTCAGGTCAGAGTCCATGACTACACCTAGATTTCTGGCTCTATCTGTTGTTTTGAACATTGCAGATTGAAGCTCAGCGCTAACTTTTATACGTTCTGCATCCAGTCATTGATTTGTTCAATGCACTTACTCAGTGTTTGAATTGGAGCATAGTCTCCTGGTGAAATTGTTACGTAATTTGTGTGTCATCCGCATAGCTATGGTAACTTATTTTGTTGTTCTTCATTATCTGAGCCAGTGGTAGCATGTAGATGTTAAAGAGAAGAGGCCCCAAGATGGAGCCTTGAGGAACCCCACATGTCATATTTGTCAACTCAGATTTGTATTTACCTATAGAAACAAAGTTGTTTCTGTCCTTTAAGTAGGATTCAAACCAATTTAGAACTGTTTCCGAAAGTCCCACCCAGTTTTCCAGTCGGTCTAGTAATATGCTGTGGTCAACAGTGTCAAACGCAGCACTGAGATCTAATAAAACTAACACTGAAGTTCTGCCACTGTCTGTGTTTAAGTGGATGTCATTAAAAGACCTTTACAAGAGCAGTCTCAGTGCTGTGGTTTGGACGAAAGCCTGACTGGAACACATCGAAACAACTATTTAAATGCAAGAAATTACTCAACTGTTGAAAAACAACTTTTTCAATGATTTTACCTAGAAATGGGAGGTTTGATATGGGCCTGTAATGTTTCAAATCATTTCTATGCTTTCTTGGCACAAATAAGATGATTGATTGATACACGTCCTATTTTAAATTATGAATCAACAGCAAGCAGTTAAACTTAGACCCCGGCCACACGAGGACGAAAACGGCTAAACGCATAGGATTAACGCAAACGCAATCGCAAACAAGCTTCCGTCCACACGCAATAGTTATCTGGATAGTGTCTGCCCACACGAGACCGCTCCGTTTAGCTCCAACCGCTGGAGAAGCTGCAGTACATATGCAGGAGCCTGTACGTGGCGCTGTAACTTCCTCCACAAAAGCAGCGAAGAAGCATGGTTGCCCTTCTGTTTATTCTCCGCGGTGGGGGGCCGAGGGAACCGGGCAGAGTTTTTCGCCAGTCAACGTGTATTAAAGTTTAAATCTTCCGACAAAATTATAAAAGTGCCGGTCAAAGGTCTTCTTTGTTATTTATTGAGCTTTAAAACAAATGAATAACGAATCTATATAATATAATAATAAAATACACGGAGCCTCTCTTTTCCTCCCTCTCTTCGGACAGCGCCAGTGTCTGTCTCATGCAGCAGCTGATCCAGTAATGAGTGACCCAGCTGACAGTAAAAAATAAAAATATTTATATCTAGTTTAGGTAGTTTGAGAGGTAATTAAAATAGCTAAGGGTGATGATCGGACTTGAAGTGTGTGTTTTACTCCGCATCACAGCGGGAGGAGCTGCAGGTAAGCAGAGCTGCGTGTCTCCGTCCTGTCAGATTAGACTTCACTCGCGTTTAGGTCCATATCGAGAGAAAGATAAATAATCTGAATTCAGTGTTCAGTTTACTTTGACGCGGGGGTGAGCAGCAGAGGCGGGGCTATTGCCTCATCATTATCAGAAAATTATCGTATAGGGCGTACACACAGAGCCGTTGGACCCCCCAGAGCGTTGCGTATGCCGTTCTATCCACCTTGGGACCCGTTATCGTTTACGCAGTCGTTTAGTGCCGTATTCGGTCCTCCTCGTGTGGCCGAACGGTCTATATGACACTAAACAGTAACGCAAACGACAGTTTTCGTCCTCGTGTGGCCGGGGCATTAGACAGCATAATGGCAGAGAACAGCTGGCCTGTCAAGGTTATACAATCGGCCTAAGACCTGTCAAGCTCACTGGTTTTATGGGGCGGTAATGTGCTTGAACATTTCTTGGCCAGGAGCAGTTTTTTCCTTGGTCTTGCCATCACCGTTTGGTTTCCAGGCAACAAGAGTAGACACCAGAAACCGAGTCATAACCACAACTTAAAATTACAACTTTTCATTAATACACTTTTTTTGTACATACAAAATAAGCAATCAAACTTATTTAGACAGAGCCATGCTAGTAGCAGTATGCTGTTTGTAAACACAGATCATTTAAAGTCTGTCTATTCTCCCCCTGCTCAACGAATAAGCGAGAGAGAGAGCAGCAAGGTGAAAAGAGCTCGAGTTGTGAATAAGAGAAATAAAACATAATTTTTTCAATAGTTTAACTGCGGTTACATTCCATAGCACACTAAACACAACCAAAGAATGGTAAATGTACCAGATTTTGAATAAATGAGGCAAGTTCTTCAGCCTGCTGTGTCTGCAGCTTTATACAGTCTATCTATGGCATGGGTCGGCAACAGGCGGCCCATTGTTGGCCCGCCAGCAATAATATTTGGCCCGTAATTTTGAGAATAAAAAATAAAATATTATTTTGAGATTTTTTTTGTACAACATAGGACCGACAGTCGCACATCAGGGTTTCCGTTAGCCGCCGATCGATCGGCCGCCGGTCATTATCGGCCGATATTCACTCTTAATAGTTTGATCGGTGCTCTCTATAAAGGCCGATCAGAAGAGCTGGATCTGATCGATATGGTCATAAACGCGAGTGAAGTATAACCGGACCCGAGAGAGAGATCAGATCAGCTGCTGAGTCTGACGGAGACACGCAGCTCTGC